TCCCCCCTCTCCCCCTCTTCCCATATCATTGATTTCATCCGTCGATACCGTTACTGAACAAGATGATTTTTGCGTAGACGGCGTCGCGCCACGTGCAAAGATGAATCAACAGCGATCTCGTCGCTTCCGGTCTGCGCAGGAAGCCCAGGAGAAGGAAGAGGATAAGCAAGAGCTATTGAAGTTGTTAAAGCAGCAGAATGGTGGCGCAGTACCCGATGACACACTCGAGGGCGTCACCAAGAAGGCTTTTGACTCCAATTCCATTACTCCCGGCACTCCCTTCATGGACATCTTGGCCTCAAGCTTAAGATACTGGTGCGCGTACAAGCTTAATACGGACCCAGCCTGGGCAAAACTCAAGATCATCATCTCCGATGCGACAGTCCCCGGCGAGGGAGAACATAAAATCATGTCATTCGTGAGATCCCAGCGCATCTCTCCCGACTACGACCCGAATACCCGACACGTCATCTATGGCCTCGATGCCGACTTGATCATGCTTGGTCTCGCAACTCACGAGCCTCACTTCCGAGTTCTGCGTGAGGATGTCTTCTTTCAAGATAGCAAAGCCAAGATGTGCAAGCTTTGTGGACAAAAGGGTCACGAGGCTCGCGCTTGTCGTGGGCAGGCCAAGGAGAAGGTCGGCGAATTCGACGAGCAGGAAAAGAGTCCCATTTTGAAGCCCTTCATCTGGCTCCACGTTCCCATTCTGCGGGAGTACTTGGCAGTAGAGCTTAATGTCCCAGGTCTGCCCTTCCGCTTCGACCTAGAGAGGGCCCTTGATGACTGGGTATTTATGTGCTGTTTCGTTGGCAACGACTTTCTGCCTCACTTACCGGCACTGGAGATCCGAGAGAACGGAATCGACACCCTGACAGCCATTTGGAAAGATAACTTGCCATTCATGGGCGGTTATGTCACCAAGGACGGTCACGTCGACTTGGGTCGAGCGCAGTACATTCTCAATGGCCTAGCAAAGCAAGAGGATGCGATCTTCAAGAGGAGAAAGGAGACCGAGGATCGTAGAGAGGCCAGCTTCAAGCGGAGAAAGCTTCAAGAGGAGCAGCGTAACCCCAAGTTTGCCAAGCCGAAGCAAGTCGACGATGCATCTGCTGGATTGAGCTTGTTTGCGGTGGCAGGAGGACCAAATGGCGTCACTCACGACAAAGTAGTGGGTCGGTCTTCTAACATGAACGCCAACACTGCCAACAAGAGCGCCGCAAGCGCTATACGGGACCAACTGAAAGGTTTGATGCCCAAGAATGAGATAAGTCAGGAAGATGACTCGGCGAAGGTCACGAAGGACGAAGTCCCCAAGCCGACCGATGAAAGTACTGTGCTGGGAAAACGCAAAGCCGAAGATGACACTGTAGCAAAGGCCGAATCCGTCGCGGCCAGCGCAAAGGGCCCCGGCACGTCGTCCGCTGCCGAGGAGGCCGCGGTGGATCATGTCAGAATGTGGGAAGAGGGCTACGCCGATAGATACTACGAACAGAAGTTTCATGTTGATCGGAGCGATCTCGAGTTTCGGCACAAGGTTGCGCAGGCTTACGTGGAGGGCCTGTCGTGGGTTTTGCTATACTACTTCCAGGGCTGTCCCTCATGGGAATGGTATTACCCATACCATTACGCGCCCTTTGCTGCAGACTTTGTCGATCTTGACAAGATGGATGTTCATTTCGAAAAGGGGCGGATTTCAAAGCCATTTGAGCAGTTGATGAGTGTGCTTCCTGCAGCCTCTCGCCACGCTTTACCCGAAGTCTTCCATGAGCTTATGCTGAATGAGGACAGCGATGTTATCGACTTTTACCCGTCAGATTTTGAAATTGATCTGAACGGAAAGAAGATGGCATGGCAGGGAGTGGCACTGCTGCCGTTTATCGAAATGCCAAGACTGCTCGCTGCCATCGAGACGAAGTACCCTCTCCTGAGCGAGGCAGATCAGGCGCGAAATGGTGTCGGAAGGGACGTGCTGCTCTTATCAGATGCTCACCACGAACTATATGATGAGATCACTACTGGTTTCTACTCGAAGAAGCAGGGAGCGCCGACGCTCAAGCTCAGTCCCCGGACAAGTGACGGTTTGGCTGGCAACATTGAGAAGATACCTGATTATCTGCCTCACGGAGAGTTAGTGTATCCCCTGGAGCGCGGAGGAATGCCAAATCTGGACTACGATAGGTCTCTGAGGTAAGTTGATCTCACAAATGTGGTTGACAGCTAATTGCTGGGACTAACAATGAAGCAGAGTATGGTACACGTTCCCAGAAAGCTCGCATCCTCACAAGTCGATGCTACTGCGTGGTGCCAAGCCTCCGGCTCCAGCTCTAGATCGCAACGACATCGAGACTTTGAAGGGGAAGTCAGCGCGAGGCGGGCGTGGCTACGGCGGAGTCCCCTTTCAACGTGGCGGCGGACACCACAACGGCGGTCGGAGGGGGGGCCAATTCAGTTACGCTCCTGATGGCGGACAAGGTCGCCAAGACCGAGGACCGCCCTCTTACGGCAGTAATGGTGGTTACGGTCGGCAGGGATTCCAGTCGTCGGGTCCACCGCCCATCCAATCCTCATGGCAACCCCCCCCTCCAGGGCACCCTGGGTTCGGCATGGGTCTCCCGCCGCCACCTCCTCCATCAGGGTATGGAAACGACGGGCGAGCATCCAACGGTTCCTACCGCGGAGGAGGCTACAATCAGCACCACAACTACGCCCCCCTCCCGCCAGGGCCACATTCTCAGTACAGCTATCCCGATGGAGGTCGGCAAGGAGGCCGCGGCGGCTACCAGGGCCGCGGCGGCTATGGTGGTGGACGGGGCGGCGGCGGCGGCGGAGGCGGCGGCGGAGGTGGAGGTGGAGGTGGCAGATATGGCGGCGGCCGCAACAATTACTGATGTTCCGAGGGCTGTTGCTGTCGGATATAGATGTACCGGCCGAGGAGGCGCATAGATGACTTTCTTTTCACGACGAAAGCAGGAGGGTTGAAGGCTCATCGGTATCAGCCGCATAGCGTATGAATAGTGTAAATGGGCGGGCATTGTAGACGCGTCGTCAGAGATGTGGCGTGTTATTCCAAAGAAATTAATTCCTGCTAGGTAGCGCGGGTAGTGCCATAGGTGTTACGTATGGCAATACCATTGTGGCAGCAATCCTTGGTTATCACTTTCAGCTAGCTTCTAGCAGTATTGAACGATGAGGCACAGTAACCTGAAATATTCCTATATTATGTTTGGCCGATTAACTCAATATAGACGATGTATGTATCGGCCCAAGTCATAAAGCGGCAAATGGCTGATGTTATACTGCCGGAGCTCCAGATTATGTTGCCAAAGCTCAAGGTAAACCACCATAAGCACAGAAATACCAACCTAGGGCAACCCGGCATCCCCGCCGGCGCTCACATTAGGTTGACGTCCAGGCTAAGGTGCTTTGGCACCATGACCATGGGCACTTTGTTACCGCAGTCAGGGACAGAACGAAGTTCACTGGATAATGCTCGGCTTCAGACGTGCTGCCCCACACCATCTGCCCAGGCTCGATAGGTACGTATAGTAAGGTGAATGATTAACTTAAAAATACCGAAGCTACGACCGCCTACCCGCACCTTAGCTTTTTGAGAACCTTGGCATCCCATCCCGTTCGGCGCACACCAACCCCATTCGCCTCGGAAGTGCCGCTGAGACGTGACATTCGCTGCGTTGCGTTGCGTTGCGTTGCGTGCAGACCGGATCTAGACTACAGAGCTTATAACAGTATCCCTCTTGCGCCTTTGGGCCCTTTGGGTGGTACGGTAAATGATGATGTGAATTACCTTATTCCAGGTAGATTTATAGGTACCTCGAGTGGTACTACCTCTTGCGTGTTTAGAGTAGGTGTTCGGCTTGTGGACTGTGGGCAGTGCCCGGTCTGTCGCCCTCTTATGAGACAGAATCGTCTCACTTTCCCGTCCACTCCACCCAAGTGGGTGACATAGTCGTTGGCCGCTCTATAATCCTAGCTCTTTTCCTACTGTTCTTTAATCTTTACTATTTAGGGAGTAATCTCTAGTGAATATAGAGAGAATAGAAATAATAGTAGAGATATAGATAGAAAGGATAAAAAGAAGAATACGAAAGCTAAGAATTATAAACAGGTCGTAAGTAAGTAATATGATTTTTTGTTGGCCGGTATTCTATCTTGTCACCCACTTGTCCACGTCCTCTTGCCCATTCGTCCTGAGGTGGGTGTCCCTGGAAGCCAATCTCAATGGAAGTCCAGGTATTAGTACCGGTATCCGTACGGCCACATGGCGTAATGGAAGGTCAGGCCGCTGTCAGGTACGAGTTCAATACGCAGTGCTAAGACAAGGTACCTACCTATCTGTACCTTACCTCCAAAGGCGACTAAACCCATCTTAGGTAAGGTAGCAGCCGTCATTGGGCCAGACGACGCTATCAGTGCTGCTAAGTACAGTGCTACCCCTCCACCATCTCCCTCCTGACATGGACGACTGTAAAACGCATGCAGGTGCATCTTTCGCCTTTTTTTCCACCTCAACATACATTAGTACTTCGCCTACATACCTACCTTCCTACCTACCACTAAGGATCGGGTAGAAGAAGGCGCACAGTTTGTCACCACAGCAAACCGAAACAGATGCTGGTTCAACGCATCAAGCCGCTCTCTGCCACCTAGCCAACTCCTTCAATCCCTTCAGGTCCTTTACCTTACCTTACACCTCAGGTCAGCGCATCGTTCGCTCTCCTGCACAGCTACCTCACTTCGCGTATTACGACTGCGACGACGAGCCAATTGGCCCTCCCGACCCAGCCATACCTCGGCTTTGCGCTCGTAGTCCCTCCCCGTTGACCTCCACTGTATACAATATCTACGACGACCTCATAGCCACAAAAGCCCCGTCGCAATACTCGGCCAAGTCACTACACTACTTGAGCTTGAGGAAGGCGCAGATAACTAAGGACGTGCGCGTACGGTCATGAGCTTTATCGTTTTGGAGCGCAGACATGAACGGCGATGCTGGTCTCGTCGGCTGTCTGGTCGATAGGCTTGCCACCAGAGTAAGTCGCTCCTTTCTTTCCTCCTAGACCTTGGTCATGAGATGCGACGCGCCCCCTCATCCTCTTCCCGACTCGCTTGCGTATCCTGCCTCCTGCCTCTTGGGGACTTCACTGACCATATTTGCGCCCCTCTCAGCTACCTCACCGGACGGGAACTCATGGACAGGAGCTCCAACAGGACGACGTTGTCCTCATCACGAGATCAACGCTAGTCAAAATCAGCACCTCAGCCGTCGCCTTTGTTCTCGATTCCCTCGTTGCACTTCTCGAAGACATAATACGAAACTACAAAGGCCTTCCTCCGCCCGCCCATCCTCCCCACGTTCTCCTTTCCGAAGTCTACGTCCTTGCCCTCGCTGCCGACTGCTGCACCGCCCATTGGAACCAAGTCAAGGCACAAGGCATCCGCCAACCTTCTGCCGAAGCAGACACTCGTCGTGTTACCTCAGCAAACCTCGCAAATGTTCCCGAGCCGTTGGACGAAGCTCTTGTCAATCGCGTCTTTGACTTAGTCAAGTGGCTTGTTGAGCCCATTCCCGAGGGCTATGTCTTACCCTCGTCTACCATTCTAGACGATACCTCGAGACACGCCGACTCCATAGCCCGCTCCTCGGGCGGGCTTGCCTCGCCGCTCCCCGGTGATACTGACGCTCCCGAGGACGACGGAACCCTGCCCACCACCCAATTAGCCGTTTTGGAACCTTGCATTAGGATCATCGTGGAATACGTCACGGCCTCTACATGGTCTTGCTCTTTTGACTATTTCAGGAACGTCGTATATACCGTTCGCACTGCAGCTGTAGTGCAGGCTGCTCCTGGTCAGTCGGCCGCTACCCCCGACGACGACAAGGCTTCCCTGGCGGTGCTTAAGATTCTGTCCTTCTTCTGGGTCGACGCCCAAAAGCTAGGTTTAATAATCCAGGAGATATGCTCCAGCTTCCTACATTTCCGCAAATCCTTTCAAAATACTGTTGCCGTCGTCGCCCCCTTGTTAGTTACCAGGTGGCTCGATCGATATCCACATGAATTCGTGCAGCAGCACACTTTACACAGGCGTCTCGACGGCGGCGCCGATACTCTGTTTGACATGACGCAGACGGTCGTTGACAATGGCCGCAAGAAAGGAGTTCTATACCCTTTGCAGACCACGTTATTATTCCTACTACCCGATGTTTTCGAGGTGGCTAGCAATCTCCGAGAGGCTAAGAGTAGCAGTATGGCCAAGAAGGTCGGCTTTCTAGACAACTTAAGAAAGGCTCTGAGGAACAAGAACGAACAGGCCGCTTACTCGTTGGTGTCCCTCTTGAGAGCATCTCGCCACTTCGTTGCCGAAGACGATGCCGCATTGGTGAGCTACGCCATGGATGTACAAGACGAGGTCCGCGAGGCTGTCTTTCGGCGCGGCAACGAGTCCTCCTTATTTGATCAAGACTTGATGACAGCTGCGTTTGTCAGCCTCGCTGAACTGAGTCTAGAAAGCTGTGTCGATTCACTAAGAGAGTCATATCTTGGCCTCTCTTCCCCGCAGGCTTTCAAGACTGCCGTCGTCCAAGGTTGCCGTTACTTTGCCCGTCAAAACGACTCGCATGTTTATGAGCAGCTTTTTGCTGTCGCGGGTCCCTTCATGCGGACGCAGCTCAAGGTAAGTCTGATGAACATCAACCCCCTTTGTATTCGCACCCTATCGCATTGCCTCTGTAGGCCAGTTTGGTAACCTAGATAGCAGGCTGTTGCGGACTTGCCAGCAGAAGCTACCGCCGTAGCTCTGGCACTACCACGTCGCGACTCGAACTTACACTCGTTCACAAATATGGCATGCGATGTTCTTAAGTTTCTGGATGCTTCACCACGCTCTCTCTTCGACGGCGACAGCCAAAGCGATACGGTTACCGGCGCTGCTGACGAGGATGTGTTTTTGTCCTTTCTCTCATGCGTCGTGTCCGCCAACCCGACCATCAGGAGACTCGCCACAGGTGTTGCGAAGCGTCTCTTTTCCGACAGCTCCATCATCGACACACTCCGTGCCCGTGGCAGACTGAGTTCTGTTGCACTGAGAAGGGAATTTTGGAGACGCAGGTATGAAGACCGGTGACTTTCCGAGTCTTTTCAAATATGAAGATGGACTAATGTAAGCTCGAGCAGCTCTCTGGTATTACTCAACATGTGCAACGATGTCACATCTGATGGCAACGGTTCAGAGGTGAAGGCTATTCATGAATATCTTGAAGCCCGGAAGTTCTTGCTGGCGTCGCTGCGGGTAAGTTGAACAGACTTCGTTACAAGCGCTCGTCAAACTAACAAACCCTGCTCTGTCCCAGGAGCTCTCCGATATGCCCGAAGGCGTACCCGAAATAGAGGCAGCGTCCTCCAGACTTGAAACGACGCTCCTAGTCTCCTTATGTTCAGCTGATGTCGAAACCTGTCAGACGGTGACCTCGTGCATAGGCCTCTTTTTCGAAGAGAACAACCTTGTGGACATGACCTCTGACACAGCCAAAGTATTTGCCTCACTGCTACGCAACGGCGAGGTGTACGGCGAGATCGCATCTCGAGCGTTCCGATTCACAGGGCTCGTGGCTTTTCAAAAGAGGATTCGCGGCTTGCTCCGCCGGTTGCAATATCCTACAAGCGGCATCCTTTCGGCCTGGGAGTATGGCTTCGAGCGATGGCTTCTTCTTTCGAGAGAGGTCTCAATGGCACCTGTTGATGCTGTCGATGAAAGAGCGCTGACCGAATGGCGAAACTACTCGGGTTTTCTCGCATCTCTCGGTGGGATATGCACGGCGAACCAGACAATCATCCTTGAGGAGCCAACACTGAACGGCCTGAGATGGATTGATAAGCTCTCCTCTGAGAACCATGAAGAACCCTTATTGAGCAGGTATCTGAAGTTGAGCATCCAGCTTCTTGGATGTGCAAGCATCAGGATCAGAGAAGCAACCAGGGAGGTTTTATCAAGCGAGGTGTCATCCACACTTTACCAAGCTCTCTTCAAATCTCTCGAGTCTGAGCTTGAGGTCTTGTTCACCGGTGCACTAGCGCCGAGTGACAAGGCACAGGACGTCGAAATTATATTTGCCGAGCAAGCCATTTCTCTTCTGAAAGCGCTCGTGGAACGGCTCGAGAGCCCTTCAGACCTTGGTGCCGCTTCAGCCATACATCTTGGTGCTCTCGCACTCAATTTCGCGAAATTCCTCGATGGCATCGCTGATAGCACCAATACCCTCCGAGTCAAGATCAAGGTCTGTCAGCTGTGCGAGGCAGTAACGAAGAGGAAAGAACACTTAAACCTCAGAGATGACGTGCGGATCCGAAATCAGCTCCTGGAGTATATCTTTGGCTGGATTGCTCGGCCTCGGTCTCCGCGTCTTGACCCAGGTACCAACTCAAGTGGCCGTTTGGACGAAGTCGTGAGAGTGCAGAAGGACCTGGACAAGGCTTGCTTGAAGTCACTGGCCGAACTCACTTTCCGTCTCCCCTTGCAACCTGGCGAGGGCCAGACCGACGCTGGTACGAGCGAGCTCAAGTCACAGATGTTTCATACCTATTTCAACAGATTCCTTTCGCTACTCAACCACGAGTCTCTTGAAGGCGGGAGGAACGATTTGCTGGCAGGAATTTCCAGTCGCGATGAGGGTGGATCTTCGTCAGAATTTGCTATCACCATTCTCTCAAATCTCTTGAGTGCTAATATTGACGTCGGCCTGAAGCACTCTCTTAACATTGGATACCATGACAATGTCGAGATCAGGACAGCCTTCGTCAAAGTCCTGTACAACATCCTCATTCAGGGCACGGAATTCAGCAACCTAACAGACGCTGCCGTCAGTGAGAAGTATGACGAATTACTCGAGGTGAGCAAAGCTGCGTGGAGCCATGCTGAATCAGTAGTGCATTATCTAACACAGTTCACAGCTCCTCACCAAAGACATGACATTGGTAGCAGCGATGAGCGCTGTGTGCCCAAGCAGCGAGGTTGACGAACTGACTGTCTCTCTGCTGACAATCTTCGAACATCGTGGTCTCAGCTTTGAACTGCTAGAAGTTCTCATCAAGCAAGAGATCGAAGAAACAGGTGGGTCCGACAGCCATCACTCTTTTTCCTGGAGGAACCCTTTCGATTAACGATCTGTCCAGACAACGAATCAGAGATATTACGGCGGACATGCGTCGCAACCAAAATGCTTTCCGTCTACGCTAAGTGGAAGGGACAACCGTACCTCAAGGCGACACTGCAAAAGGTCGTCGAAAGGTTGATGTTGACTTCCAAAGACCTAGATCTCGAGTTGGACCCCGCTCGCGTGAGTTCTACAGATGAACTCCAGAAGAACGCCCTTCAGCTGCGTATTGTAGCGAAGGTTTTCATCGACGACATTTGTGCATCGTCCTCGACCATGCCAGCCTCGTTCCGCAGGATCTGCAATATCGTGCGTCTACCAATTTCCAAATCCCTTATACTGTCTACTAATGAGAGCCAGATCTCTGCTGCCGTACTCCCACGGTTCCAGGAGGCCAAGTACACGGCTGTTGGGGCATTCGTTTTCCTTCGATTCTTCTGTCCAGCCATTGTTGCGCCTGAAGTCGAAGGCTTAGTTACCACGACGCCGTCAAAGGAGATGCGACGAGGGCTCCTACTCATCGCGAAGGTCATTCAGAACTTGGCAAACAATGTTCTGTTTGGGGCCAAGGAGCCCTACATGTTTCCCTTGAATGACTTCCTTACTCAGAACATCTACAAGGTGACAACCTTCTTACGCGAGATTTCTGTGAGTAGTCCCCTCAGCCCGCACGACGCAATTCCGTTTACCCGCGAAATTCTCAAAAATTAATCTTGACTGTGTGCTAGGTGCCTCCAGAGAACCTCGAAACTCCTCCTACCATCGAATCCTTCGACTTCGGATCTTGCGTTGCGCTACATCGGTTTCTATATGACCATTGGGATCATATGCGCCAAAGACTTGTCACTCAAGAACGGAAGGACTTCGTGCGGTCGCCCGCTGAGGTGTCCCGGGGTCGGTCGCCTGTTCTCGAGCCTTTGCGCAATCTCATCACGAATTTAGGCCCCCCGCCCTTGGCTGTGACTTGGAACAGACCACAAATTTCGACAAACACTCCGCCTTCGTACTCAAGATTTCAAAATTTTATGCTTCGAAACGCATTCCGGAGTACTGAATCCTTTATCACTGCTAGAGCCGTCTATGACGGAGGTGAAAGCAAGGTACTGTTTTACCCTCGAACAGCTTCTCCCGAATGTTGCTAAGTGCATCTTGTAGGACTCTCTTTCCATAATTTGCATCATCCTACGACACATTGATGCAGAGAGCATAGACTACGATACACTCTTGTACTGCTACCTAAAGGTAAGCGTCAAACTCATATCTGATATATCCCCCCTTCACTTCGATGAATCGGCCACTACATTTGGCCACGGAGGAGTGCTTCGTTTTCTTCATCGTCTGTTCTAATCAATCCTGTCCTTGTCTAGATCGCAAGTCGTCTGTGGCATAAGCCCTTCGGCCTGCTCATTGACGCCACTTGCTACAATGGACAAAACGAACCCCAAGATGAGCTCTTTAAGAAACTCGAACAGCTCACACCCGTGGAATTATCACGGAATCTTGTCAGAGTCTATGTCTACAACATGAATAGCGCCTTCAGGTAAGGATCAACGAGGCAGGAACTGCAATGGGTATCCCAAGTTTCTACGTCGGATTTACGTAGCTAACGTACAGAAGGAAATGCTTTCGGAGACTTCTACGGGTGTCTGCCAAGAGCGATAGCAGTGTCTTCAATCCGAAAAATGTCGACTACCACTTGATTGGTAGCCTTCAAGATTTGCAGGCTCATTTTCATCTCAGCCAACTTCATCTACCGAAAGAGACAATCAGCGTTGTCACAGATACCCGATACGTGTTTCAACCCATCACCCGACTGTCCAAGACAAAGGGTAAGATTGAGGTTGTCATCAAGGTTGGCAGCCAATTTGTCCAGGTCACAACCACCAAGAAACAGGAGGTCTTCCCAGGCTATCGGCTGAGCACGACTGTGAACGATATTTTCAGGTTAGGCGAAGTGGAAGAAGCTCCTACGTCAATACAGACTGAAGATGATTCGGCCTTTGGTCTGCGTGCAGATAATGGCAAGATTGTCATGTACTTCACCAGCCCTAAGAAGGCCGACGTGCTCCAGACAATACGCGGCGCAAAAGCCAAGTACGGCAAGGATACAAGAGCGCACAAGGCCTACGAACGATTGATCCGTCCACAGGATGTTCCGGGCACCTTGCTGAATCTAGCCTTAACGAACCTGTCAAGCTCCGATCACGTTCTCAGACTATCGTCCTACAATCTTCTTGGTGCTCTTTGTAAGGCCTTCAAGTTCGGCGCGGCTTCAAACTTGATGTGCACCAAAGGTATGTTGCGAAGTCAAGTGAATTGTAGAAGGTGAAGTTCCGCCAGAATTTAGCTGCTGACCACTACAGATGTTTCCGTACCCATGGACCCGTCTCATTTCATCATCAAGATTAGCAGGCAGTTGGCAACGTCCGAACCTCAACTGACCTTTGATTTTTTGACCGAGTTCTTCGTCGGATGGGAAACCTTTACTGACGAGCAGAAGCCGCTCAGCCTGGCATATATGGCCCCATGGCTGCCCGGCTTACGCACTGGAGTTTTGGCAAACGAATCCGATGCCGAGAAGGGAAAGGAAAAGATTGCAGCATTGTTTCGCAAACTCATAGATGTGGCTATGTCAGATCACGGGCTTACGTATACGCTTGAGCAAGCTGTCTGGCCCGGCATCTACCAGGACGAAACAATACTCGACATTTTCCTTGAGGAGCTCATGAGAGCAGCTCTAAGCTTTGGGTTCTCTGAGGAGCCCATGGAAGCTCTGTCATCGATCGTCTCCGGTATGGGAAGCATCACCCTGCGTGGTAAGGTGATTTCCCGGCTACGCAAGGCGTTGAATCGGTCTTCCCTCAGACCTACGAAATACTTGCCTGACAATACAGTGTGGGCCGAGATCTGCGTTCTACTTCATTTCTGTTTGTCATTGTCGTTCGATAATGGCGTGCAGTCTCAGCTATATCTACCAGAAATCTTTCACATCGTCACAATCTTGGCCAACACAGGCGCTCCGGAGGTTCGCTTGCTAGTGCATAGGCTTCTTGTCAACACTGTGCACGCAGCTTGCACTTCTTTCAACCTAGACGAAACTCGGTTTAACAAACTCAGAGGTAGTTTAGACTTCCTCAGTGAGCCCAGGAGCGAGATATTCTCAACACCTCCCCCATTCCTACGCGATGGAGCCTCCATGTCGACTACACAGGATGCCGGGCCTTCACTGGCCGCCACTGAGAACCTAGCGGCAGTCTTGTTTGAGGTCTGCTCGGTAGCAGCGCCATCTATCGACATCTCCAATGCCTGGAGGTCACGCTGGATGAGTCTGGTGGCCAGCACCGCATTCCAAAACAACCCAGCTATTCAACCCCGCGCTTTTGCCGTCATGGGCTGCTTGGCACGAGAGGAGGTGGATGACGACTTGCTTTATCAAGTGCTTGTCGCTCTACGAAATAGCGTCGGTCGCTTAGGAGACGACACGAACAGCGACATGCTTATTTCCATTGTGACCTCTCTGTCCAAGATGATGGCAAAGCTCCCGTCGGCATCTCGTTATGGTCTGCAGCTCTTCTGGCTGGCCATCTCCCTTCTAAGACTTGTACCTCCGGCCTTGTTCAATTGCACAGCGCAATTCCTGGAGGCCGTCATGACTAACATCAGCACTGTGGGTGATCTGAGAGGGGACAAGATGGGCCCTCTCCTTTTACAGGGCCGTGTCCAGCTCGAGGAAGCTGCTCTGCCTCTAGATGACGCATACGGCATCCATTTCACGCCTGAGAATTTCCATTTCGCAGTCTGCGCTTGTCTCGCTCGTGGTCTTGCGGACACTACCACGAAGACGAATGCCATGCGAGTACTCTCGGCCTTCCTAGACATGGCCGGCAATCCTGTCGGTGACGCTGGGAGCCCGCCTGACGACTTATCTCGGTCGCCTTACATGGCTCTTATCCTCGCACGAACGGTCGAGAGCGATGAGCTCAGGGACAATCTATGGCTTGCGGGTATTGATCCTTCCCTTTTACGAGATGTCACTGGCCAGCAGAGATACGATGATCTCGGCGGCATGAAGGATAAAGATCTCCTCCTGAACACGGCCATCGAGTTGATTGACTTTCAGTACTTGGAGGATGCACTGCAGAACCGGACATTGCAGTGGCTGACGGAACTAGCAGCAGCTAGGCCGTCTGTGATTATGCACCTGTAAGCTACTAACTCTCCTGTCCCACCTAAGCGGACCCTTGGACTGACTGAACCACAGCTGTGGGCCTATTGTTTCTATCCTGGACGATGTGCTTCTGCATTGCCAGAATTCGTCGACTTTGGAGTCTGCGCAAGACTTGCTACATGCACTCACGTCAAATCCAAAGTTCAGCACAGCGCTAGAGTCCACAGCCGTTTTGAATGAGATTCTTGAGGATATGGGTTTCAGCGGGTTGTGGCGTTCATGTTCGTTCAACTTCAGCCAGGACCAGGATAGGAAATGTTTCCTTCTGACCGAGAAGCTGATCGAAGTAAGTCACTACGAATGACGCCGTACTAGGGATCAACGTGCTGACAGTCCTAGCTTATCATAGTTTAGTAAGTAGACATGACTCTTGGAGGCAAAGCAATGTAGTTCCATGGAGAGACGTTTCTGAAGTCTTGATGCGCATGAAGAATAAAGATGAAGAGTAAAAGAAAGCTGTAATTTAAATAATGCTTCTATACCTACTTGTCTCTCTTGTGCACGGGCTGCTGACCAATGAGACCTTTCGTTCATCGATCACTAGCCACTTTCAGCCACAGGAGGCGCGCCACCTCCCAGCTCACCCAAGGTATTTTCCTAAGGGCCCAGAGGGCCGAATAGCATCATGATTCTGTGTGCATAACGGAAAATATTGATTTATCCAGGTCTCTATCTCTTACCGGGCTGAAATGGCGAATTATATGCAAGTGTAGGTCAGCTGTGTAAGGTAGGTCAGCCGTATGGAGCATCCGTACCTACCCATGTGGGTCGATAGCTTTTCTCCACCAGTCCAAGACAGATTTGCCGCAGGCCCGTATGAACCCGACCACCTATTCCCGAGGACCGACAAAGTTCCGTCCTTGCTTGCCTCCTTTCATCTTTTCCATGCTCATCCAGCTCACGGCGACGAACTCCCTCCACCACCGCCCTATCCGCCACCATGTTGCGAAGCTCTGTGTGTAGAGCCGGCACTCGGGTGCTTCACACCTCAAAACCTACAAGCTCATCATCATGCTTCTCTACCATCGCGTCGCGGACCTCGACGAGGAAGCTCGCTGCTGCCCGTCGCCCCCTGGCCTTAACCAGCCAACGTCACTACGCGAGCGCGACCGACAATGCACCAAACCCTAACGATAACTTCCTGTCCGGCAACACTGCCAACTACATTGACGAGATGTACATGCAGTGGAAGCAAGATCCCAAGAGCGTCCACGTCTCATGGCAAGTCTACTTCAAGAACATGGAGAACGGCGACATGCCCATTGCCCAGGCTTTCACTCCTCCGCCTTCTCTGGTTCCTGGTGCCATTGGCGGCGTTCCAGCACTCGGCGCTGGTCTTGGTCAGGGCTCTGAGATTACAAACCATCTCAAGGTCCAGCTTTTGGTGCGCGCCTACCAAGCTCGAGGCCACCACAAGGCCAACATCGATCCCCTTGGGATTCGAAACGAGTCTCAGGGCTTCGGTAACATCAAGCCTAAGGAACTGACTCTTGAGCACTATCAATTTTCTGAGAAGGATCTTGACGCCGAGTACGAGCTTGGTCCTGGTATCTTGCCGCGCTTCAAGAAGGATGGTCGCGAGAAGATGACCCTCCGCGAGATCATTGATGCTTGCGAGAAGATTTACTGCGGTGCCTACGGCATTGAGTTCATCCACATTCCTGACAGAGAGAAGTGCGACTGGCTGCGTGAACGAATCGAGGTCCCCCGACCTTTCAAGTACTCTATCGACGAAAAGCGCCGCATTCTCGATCGTCTCATCTGGAGTTCCAGCTTCGAATCCTTCCTTGCCACGAAATACCCGAACGATAAGCGTTTCGGCCTCGAAGGCTGCGAGACTCTCGTCCCCGGTATGAAGGCGTTGATCGATCGCAGCGTCGACTACGGCGTCAAGGACATCGTCATCGGCATGCCTCACCGCGGTCGCCTAAATGTTCTAAGCAACGTCGTAAGAAAGCCCAACGAGTCAATCTTCAGCGAGTTCGCCGGAACTGCCGGCGCCGAGGACGAAGGCTCCGGTGACGTCAAGTACCATCTTGGTATGAACTTTGAGCGCCCTACACCCTCCGGCAAGCGCGTCCAGCTCTCCCTTGTCGCCAACCCTTCTCACTTGGAGGCTGAAGACCCTGTTGTGCTCGGCAAGACCCGCGCTATCCAACACTACAACAATGATGAGAAGACGCATCGCACAGCCATGGGCGTTCTGCTCCACGGTGATGCTGCCTTCGCCGCGCAAGGTGTTGTCTACGAATGTCTTGGATTCCACTCTCTTCCTGCCTTCTCTACCGGCGGTACAATTCACCTTGTCGTTAACAACCAGATTGGCTTCACTACCGATCCCCGATTTGCCCGCTCCACAGCTTACTGCACCGACATCGCCAAGGCCATCGACGCACCCGTCTTCCACGTCAACGCCGATGACGTTGAGGCTGTCAACTTTGTGTGTCAGATGGCTGCCGACTGGCGTGCTGAATTCCAGCAAGATGTCATTGTCGACCTTGTTTGCTACCGAAAGCACGGTCACAACGAGACCGACCAGCCCTCTTTCACCCAGCCTCTCATGTACAAGCGCATCCAGGACCATGAGTCCCAGATTGCCATTTACGTCAACAAGCTTCTCGAGGACGGCAGCTTCACCAAAGAAGATATCGAGGAGCACAAGCAGTGGGTCTGGGGTATGCTGGAGGAGAGTTTCTCCAAGTCCAAGGACTACCAACCCACCTCCAAGGAATGGACCACCTCCGCGTGGAACGGTTTCAAGTCTCCCAAGGAGCTTGCAACTGAGGTCCTTCCTCACAACGAAACAAGCGTGGACAGCAAGACTTTGAACCACCTTGGCGAGGTCATTGGCAGCACCCCCGAGGGCTTCCAGCCTCATCGCAACCTCAAGCGTATTCTGTCTAACAGGACCAAGTCTGTGGTCGAGGGCAAGAACATCGACTTCCCCACTGCGGAAGCCCTTGCCTTTGGCTCCCTCGTCACTGAGGGCCACCACGTTCGTGTTTCTGGTCAAGATGTTGAGCGTGGAACTTTCTCTCAGCGCCATGCTGTCTTCCACGACCAGGAGACCGAAGACACTCACACTCCTCTTCAGCACGTCAGCAAGGACCAGGGCAAGTTTGTCATCTCCAATTCTTCCTTGAGCGAGTTTGGCGCTCTCGGTTTCGAGTACGGCTACTCTCTGTCTTCTCCCAATGCTCTCGTCATGTGGGAGGCTCAGTTCGGTGATTTCGCCAACAACGCGCAGTGCATCATTGATCAATTCATCGCTTCGGGTGAGGCCAAGTGGATGCAAAGAACTGGTCTTGTCGTATCTCTGCCCCACGGATACGACGGTCAGGGTCCAGAGCATTCTTCTGGTCGTCTCGAGAGATGGCTACAGCTGAGCAACGAGGACCCTCGCGTTTTCCCCTCCCCTGAGAAGTTGGACCGCCAGCACCAAGACTGCAACATGCAGGTCGCGTACATGACTAGCCCTTCCAACCTGTTCCACATCCTTCGCAGACAGATGCATCGCCAATTCCGCAAGCGTAAGTTGACTCTGATCATCCCATACTTGTAGTTCTTGTGGCTCACTTTCATTAGCTCTCATCATTTTCTTCTCCAAGGCTCTGCTTCGCCACCCATTGGCCCGTTCCAACATTGAGGAGTTCTCGGGCGACTCCCATTTCCGCTGGATCATCCCCGACCCGGAGCATGAGACTGGCGTCATCAAGCCTAAGGAGGAGATCGAGCGCGTGATTCTCTGCTCTGGCCAGGTTTGGGCTACTCTATCCAAGTACCGCGCTGATAACAAGATCGACAACGTCGCGTTCACCCGCATCGAGCAGCTGAACCCCTTCCCCTGGCAACAACTGAAGGAGAACCTCGACCAGTACCCCAACGCCAAGACAATTGTCTACTGCCAAGAGGAGCCCCTGAACGCTGGTGCTTGGAGTTTCGTCCAGCCTCGCCTGGAGACCTTGCTCAACAACACTCAGCATCACGATCGCAAGCACGTCATGTACGCTGGCCGTGGCCCCAGTGCATCTGTCGCCGCTGGTAACAAGGGTCTGCACAACAAGGAGGAGCAAGAGTTCCTGGAGATGGCTTTCTCCGTCAAGCAGGACAAGCTGAAGGGCGAGTAAACAACGAGTAGCATCAAAGAGGCATGACACAGCGCGTGAATGGGAAGAGGCTTGGGACAGGTATGGGCAGGATCAGAATAGTGGGAGCGACGTCTTCCTTGTACAATTGTAAAATATACAGCTTTCTTATAGATTCCGAGCCACAGGTCGGCCCTGTGAGGTGTCCTTGAGTGTCTGTAGAGAGCATGTAGGTTGTTGCAGGCAGTCTACAGCTGTGAAAAGCTCGGGCCTATGCGTCTACTGGCGTACTGGGCTGGACGTCGAGAGTACGAATGTTCGGGGTTTGCGAACCCCACTAGAATGACTGCGTGGCTTATTGTGTCGTAATATCGAGCCATTGGTCCCTAGGGATCAAGTAAGTGACTAATGTCATTGTAGTAGCTATGGAGCTCAAGAATAAAGAACCTACCAGTAAGGCTATCGAGTCTAATAGAGTTATGCGGTTACTGGAATCATGACATCTCTTGGCCATTTGCTAGTGGAGTGCCCGACGTTGAACTTCGTGGAATAGTTGGAAGTGTCAAGACAGTTGGATGCTGTGTAATCTTAACGAGAGAGTTGAGTAATTCGATTTCGACTTTTAACTTAACGCTGTATACGAGTGCTCTGTACGCTGGCTGAGCCGTAGGTAAAGAGGCGAAAGTTGACGCAAGTAACGTCAGGTCGAGGAATACAACAAACCCATTGACCACTAGAAGAGGTGTGGCCAGGTCCTTTCTTGGGTTTCCGTGGGCGGATGTTTTGAGCCTAAAAAAGCTGATGGCCGCGTGGATATATAAGCCCGAAATGATTGACTCTTCGATACAAAACATCGTCATTTCGACTTTCCTCCAAACGAAGAGAACTTTGAACCATGTGATAAGGTTGAGGGGTTTCGCAGTAGTGCCAAATTGAAACACCATGGTTGGGATGTGTGTAACAGTCCCGAAAATAATGATCATAAGAAGAACAGATCGGAGAACAAGGGGTTCTTGCCTTACTAGATGAAGACGAGAATACAACACCATAGATTGACCAGAAACCATGAGGATTGTCCCTAGAACAAGAAGAAATATCATGTAATAATCTGGCGACTGCAGGGTGTAGGCTAGCAAGACGAACCCGACAGAATAAAAAATGATTCCGTTTGTGGCAATGACGAAGCTCCAAAAATACAGCCCAGACCTGCGCACAAAGG